GACCCCCGCCCCCCCCCCCCCCAATCCCAGCCTCCTGCCCTGAAGGACCCAAGCAATGCCAAGTAAATCTTCTAGTAAATAATAAAACACATTCTTTCTATTCACAGAGAATTGAAACTTTTGTCTTTTGTGAAATGACATTTAAAAGTCTTCTTAAACCATGACACAGTGGATTGGCGATAGCATTTGAGTATTTTAAATACACTATTGGTCACAGAACAGACATTTTAAGATACTGGAGAAAATTATCTATTAATACTCTAATATTTATACTAAAATAATTGTATGTTACAATATAGCACACGGAGGTTCTGATACAAAGGAGGGAATATTTTACTCTGGAAGAAGCCTTTGTAGCAAACATCAAAGCACTGATACAATATAACTCATGTTCTCATAACTTTTCTTCTCATAAGACAAGAACTAAGGGTCACCAAATGAAATTAGTAAGCAGCAGGTTTAAAACAAATACAAGCAAGAATTCACACAATGCACAGTCAACGTGTGGAATTCTTTGCCAGAAGTGTTGTGAAGGCTAAGACTGTAATAGGGTTAATCAAAGAACTAGGTAAATTCATGGAGAATAAGTCTATCAATGGCTATTAACCATTGATGGGAAAAGGATGGGAAAAGATGGTGTGCATATTTTCTGTTTGTCAGAAGTCTAAATTAAAATTTAGTGGCTTAAGCCCAACTTTGCTAGTATCATAAAACAAAAAAAAAATTTGGGCAGGATTTTAAATTTATAACCTTGTAAACCTTGCATTAGAACTTTCAATTTTCAAGTATCTGTGTTTAAATAATAAATCCTGTGTCCTGCATTGAACGTTTTACAAATAAAGATGAAAAAAATGTAAAAGTATCACCTCCTTCACAGTCAAATATATGTTTTAATGAACAACATAAGGAGCAGCATATTCAAATAAGCAAGTCTGGGCAAAAAGCTTCAGGGGGTGCCCAAGTAAGTCTGTTACAGAAAAAACAACAACAAATGGCCTGGTAGCACTTTATAGACTAACAAAACATGTAGATGGTATCATGAGCTTTCGCTGGCACAGCCCACTTCTTCAGAGTCATTAATAAAGGAAGGAAGGAGCCTGAACACTTGACACTCAGAAGAGATAGAATAATGTGGATTGGCAACTGCTGAGCAGTTCTCATTACAGCAATATCAAATTATGCTTAGAATATTTATTTGGACCATACAGTTGATGTATCAGGTAGACTGTTTACTATTCAGTCCACTAAAGCCCAGTGGGAAGGGATATATACAGAAGATATACTAATAAAAAGATATGACAAGCTTACCCAAACTGAATCTTAAATTAATATTTTCCTTTATATTTTCCCAATTGTTGCACTAATGAACTTTGTATAGTGTTCTGCCTGTTTTATCATTAATATAAGGGGTAAGTCAATATAATTATGAGGTTTTTTTTAAAAAATGTAGAAGATAAGTAACTAATGATTCATTTACAATATCATGATAATTAAAACTTTTTCTCTAGTTCTGTAACTAAGACTTTCACTTCCATATACTCTTTGCTACAGAAATTAAGATGACAATAAAAAAATCAACTTCTTGTACCATTTTCTAGAGGAACAGGTGCTGATGACTCCAACCTCATGTCATCTTGGTCATGTCGTGTATGGTTAGCAGCCAAACTAGCCCACTGTGACACCCAACGTTTGTTTCCAGATGCAGCAGAGCCTTCCTGAGGAAAAAAGAGATTGGACAAGAAACACCAAATTTTACTTAAAATGTGAGATAAAAACTTATTAAACTGGTATATTAAAGTACAGATGTATTTGAAATCTTAATTATTTTCACGGAAAGTGAAACTATACATGAAACTCATTTTACTTTATCTTGGAGAATATGCTTATGCTAATACTGAATTTACAGATTTAAATCCTTTATTGTTCTAGACAGATGCAGAACAATTACAGATTGGGCAATGGTTCCCAACATTTCAGCACTGCAAAGAACCTTCAAACAATACATATTATGTGAAAGACTATGCACCTCGGTTAAACTAGATTATTTCATTAGTAAACTTAGAGGAAGTTATTGAAAAAAATGGGAGCTACCAGAAGGCTTTAATCACTCAAAACTTATAATATATTTTTCTAGGGGAGGGAGGGTTAGGGCGAGGCAGATATTGAAGGAGAAGCTATTATATTGAGCTTGAAAAGAAGATAAGTTTAGGGAGTGGAGAAGCTAGCTAACATGGAGGACTTCAGAAAACTTAATGGACATTAGCAGCACATGTAAACGTAACTGCCTGAAAATAAAAGTGTCTGGAACTGTATTTCAACATGAAAATATAAAGTGACTAGAAAAGGTATCTGGCTCTGAAAATTACAAACAGCAGATCTTTAAAGTCCAATAACCTAGCTTCATGTATGAATCAAAAGACTGGATTGCATTTTTGTAGGGGAGGGGGAGGAAGCTTACAACATTTATTATTTTAGATTAAAATTAAAAAACTGTATTTACAATGTAATCAGGATTGTATTAGAAGTACCATAATTTAATGACAATTGTAATTTTCTAACCTGCTCTGTAAAGAACATGGTCATAAAAGATTGTATTCTGAAAGAAACTACACTTGAATAGCTTTGATTTATATTTATTTAACTTTTTAAATCAAAGTGTGAATTTTTAAAATTAGGCTTATACACAGGACATCTCTTTACATCTATGTAGTGAATTATAAGACTCAATTTAAATTTCCTGTTGTAGAATTTAAGCTCACTCTGGAAAGGACTAACTATGCAAATATAATGCTGCTGCTTCTGATATAATGCTGCATCACTGTCTGTGCATTTCACTCCTTCACATAGGCAAACAAAAATCATATCTCCAAAGGCTCTACTGAATTTAATGAAGACTAATAGGATGGATACACGGAGTGAGTGAGTGAGTGAGAGTGAGAGTGAGAGTGAGAGAGAGTGTGTGTGTGCGCGCGCGCGCCGGGAATTCACCTTTAAGACTCTAAAAAGAACAATTATACTGACAATTTATAGCTTCAGTTAAGATGGGTAACTCTAGCTAGACAGCAGTGGTAATCAGAGATTAAGGGAGAGGACCTGAGACTCCAACAAATGAACCTCATGAAGAATCTGGAGGAGCTATGTGTATTCTTGAGAGTTAGCAGAATCTCCACTGAATTCTTGGCACTTTCAGAGTGCCAGTCAGTGTCTACTGTTAACATCTAATGATTCTTCTTACTCTTTGGTTTATCATAAATGTTATTTACATCATTTTTCCAGTTCCCATTAACAAACAGAATTATTTTCATTACATTAAAATTTCTGCCAAAATATGGTGTAGAGCCCAATTAACCACCTGTGAACCATATGCTAAAGGGAAATCTGAATAGCTCAACTTATATTACCCATAAACCCAAGAATCTAAATCACCTTTATGAGAAGTCTGAACTCTATCAGCTTGTGGAGCAGGATATTATGGCCAACTTTAGCTGTCCCAACAAATTAGCTTATATTTTACTTGCAGAAGATAATTCAATTAGTTATATAAGCCCTACTTTTTATGTGGCATTCAGGGCTACAGGTTATGTTGCGGAACCACTGCTATATGGTATTTTGTTGTAAAGAGAGTCACACTCGGCAGTTTTCCCTCCTTCTTAAATTTCTATTACAAAAATGAATACCTTACCAAAAGTGATAGAAATGTAGCCGTGTTAGTCTGGTGTAGCTGAAACAAAATACAGAACTATGTAGCACTTTAAAGACTAACAAGATGGTTTATTAGATGATGAGCTTTCGTGGGCCAGACCCACTTCCTCATATCAAATAATGGAAGAAAATAGTCACAGCCATATATACCAAAGGATACAATTAAAAAAAATGAACACATATGAAAAGGACAAATCACATTTCAGAACAGAAGGGGGATGCGGGGAGGGGGGGAGGAGGAAGGTGAATGCCTGTGAGTTAATGATATTAGAGGTGGGGAAAGGTAGATGTCTGTGAGTTAATAGTATTAGAGGTGATAATTGGGGAAGCTATCTTTGTAATGGGTAAAGATAGCTTCCCCAATTATCACCTCTAATACTATTAACTCATAGACATCTACCCTTCCCCACCTCTAATATCATTAACTCACAAGCATTCACCTTCCTTTCTCCCCTCCCCCCTGCGTCCCCCTTCTGTTCTGAAATGTGATTTGTCCTTTTCATATTTGTTCATTTTTTTAAATTGTATCCTTTGGTATATATGGCTGTGACTATTTTCTTCCACTACTTGATCTGAGGAAGTGGGTCTGGCCCACGAAAGCTCATCATCTAATAAAGCATCTTGTTAGTCTTTAAAGTGTTTTATAGTCCTGTATTTTGTTTTACCAAAAGTGATAATTACAAAATAGCTGTATTTTAAAATCTAACATATATCACCATGGTGTGAAACATCAATAGCACAAGACTTATCACACACACACACACACACACACACACACCAACCAAAAAAAGACTGTTACCAATCCTATCCAATAGTTATTCCTAGAAGAAGTCATACCAATACTCTCAGACTTACAAATCACTCAAGAGACAGCCTTTGAGCATCATGTTTAATTGCATAAGGAATTTCCAAATCCCCAGTAGTCTTTCAGGCAATTTCAGAAAGGCAAGATTTAAATTTGACACTTTAGCTGCTTAAGTTATTCAAGTTGACCCAACTTTCCCTTGTTCACCATTTCACCCCCCATTATCAATGAATTGGGGCACCAAAGAATCTTCCTCCAGTGACTTTTCGCTAACAACTCCACAAAAAGCAGCATATTCTCAGGTAAGATTTATTGGCTATACCAAAACTATGAACATGAGGCTAAATCATTTGCTTCAGGTTTAAAGGATATAGATGCAAAACTCCTATAGTACATAACATGGAAAACCTTAAGTCATGCCGGAGCAGTTTAAAACAAACAAACAAAAAACCAAAAACTACCAGAGATTCAAAGTTCGAGAATGGACCAGAGAATTTATTAACATCCAAATGGTTTGTTTTGAAGGGTCAGGGAGTAAAACCAATCCAAGTTTAAAATGATAAAAATAAAATCTGGATGAATCATGGTGATTCAACTGTTCTACCTAATACAGACGCAATATGCTAAATAGTGATACAGAACATATTTGCTCACACTTCAGAATATATACAAGCTGTATAATATTATTAGTTAAGCAAGTAGAAAAATGAGTATAGGCAGAGTCACGCAAGCCCATTATACCATAAAACTGGTGCAGATGAACCTGAAAGTATAGTACAAAAATCTTAATTTTTTGGAAAAAGATACAACCTACCCCCATGAAATAAATGATAAATTTGAGGTTAGTATCAAAGTAAATTATTAGAAATCTGTGATTAGTCTAAAGTAATCAGACTGTTGAAAATTACATGCAAACTGTGGATAAAAGTGTAAATCCTAATATGTCAAACTTGCGAAGTATTCACATTAATCAAATTCATAAAAAATTACCTGGTTAATTTTCCCATCATTAACCATTTAAATGATTTAACAAATTTAATTCGCTTTCTTCCCTTAAATTATGCTGCTCTCTGGTGACAAGTGACTGCTGTTTAATATAGAAAATACAAGTGTTTTAAAATATTGTTGAATGGTTGGAATCAGAGCCTGAGCAATTCATTATTTATTCAATAATTACTAACTAAGCTGCAACAGTTTAAGTCAACAAGTCAAAGAGCTATATATAACCAATCCAAATATTCACACACTCCATTCTCTTATGTACCATTCTCTCCCTGAATTTCAGCCAATCTCAGAATGTTTAGCCTATTGCCACAAAAACCCAAGGTTAATAATTTCTTCTAGGAAGGGGCTACATTCACTTCTTCATTTGGATGTATCACAGGCACTTCAAATTTAACACTTCTAAGACCAAAATTAACTTTCCACCCAAAAATTCCTCTTTACCACATTTATCATTGCTGACTCCACTTTCATCCTTCCAATCATCCAGGCTTGTGTTATGTTCTTATCCCTTTCTCTTTTTCAGTCTACTCTTGTATCCTGGTTCTTGAGTCATCCTGCCTTATAAGCCATGTCTCCAAAACTCATGTTTATTTTTTCTCTAACATCAAGACAGTTTTAGTAAGTACTTTCATAACTTTATACTTTAAATTATACAATCCTTTCTCTAGGCTACTGTCATGATCATATTCCTAACCTGTTGGTATGGACATCTACATGCTTGAATTTGAACTAGCTTATCTTATTCTTTTGCTTAAAGTACAACCTACTTCTACTTTAAAAGCCTTCTTTAACTCTTCCCTAAATACCTGCCTTCATCTCTTCCTGCATCTCACTGTTTCTATTCAGTGTATCCAAGATGCTCTTATGATAATTTGCTTTGCATTCTTTACCTCTCATGACTTTGCACCTTCTTTGATATAACCCTTTGTGGCTTGGAACAGCCTCATAAATAAAGCTGTGCCAATGTCCTCCATCTCTAACAAACATACCAGTTCTACTAAGCATTCTGGCTATCAAAAGACATAATCTGATATTGCAAACTTAAGTACAGACAACTTTGAAATTCCTGCAGCATGAAGTGGATTTAAATTTGCCATGAACAGACAGATGAGGATTTCTGCGCAGGAGGGAATTCACAACTAGCATTTAGCAGCACAGGTAACTCTACACCAGTCACTCCTGATCACTCTAGCATAGATAAAGTTTGAACCTGTTCAGAGGGGATGAGACTGATTCTGAGACAATAATATGGTCCTTACAGAATAGTTATTAATTGGCAAAGTTTGGAGCAGCTCAAAAGTTGCTCTAAATTACGCTGGGGATGGTTACCAAGAGCAGGTAACCATAAACAATTCCTTTTCAGCTCCTTATTCAGTTATGCTCCACATTCCCTAGTCACAGCTGAGGATTTAACACAATGTAATCAATTCAAATGAACAGACGTAATGGAGTCAGTTTAGGAGACAGTGCCAGTCTTCTTTCTGTATCTTTTGGCATTGGTTAAAATGAGATGCATCTTAGAATTAATTGTGGCATAATCCACTTATAGCTGCAAATAAACCAGCATCATCCTGGAAACTCAAGCGCAATGAACATTACATACACACACACCACTTGGCCGTATGTGTGGTTAAAGAAAGACCCGGCCCCTCGAACCGCCCCCCCCCAAAAAATCTTTCTCCCTTCCCCTCTAGAAGGCAGAGAGAATACAAGGGAGCCGAAAGCTGAAGAAAAGGGGGAAAAAAACCCACACAGTAAGTCAGTGGATTTACAACTGAAAGCAATGCACAACGACAAAAGAAATTGTCAATCAGTTTTATGTTTTGGCTTATGACATTATTATGATGAAAGTAATATTTCTCTCAGTTGCAATTAAAGCACTCATTTTAGATACACTAGATGTGTCAGCACTGTACTCTTACTGTAACAATCTTATCGCCAAATAAAATAAATTCTGCTATGATAGTTTCTAAGAAACTAAAAACAACTCATTTGCACTAGCAGCTAGTAAACGCAGAGATACGCATCAAGGTCTTGATAAATAAGAACTCAATAAACTTGGACTAACCTCTTGCTGGACCACCTTTCACCATAAGTCCTGACAAGGCAATTACAAACAGATGTAGTGCCCTTTTTTTAGATTTATGTAGTGCATCATCGTGCATAAATCTGATTTTTTCTATTTCTATTCTATTCAGGTTGTCAGACTGCTCCCTTTACAATGGTATCTGCATGCCTTCCAGAAATCCAGTATTAGATATGACAGACATCTGTCACATAGATATAACTATTTTCTATATACAGTACATGTCTTAGAATGTCTAGTCCTTTTGCCTATCTGAAAAAAACCCCATACTACCTCTCAGACTTCTATCAGTGCTTTCTAGGAGGTCAGGCTCTATTTACGAGCTACAACATTGAAGACAGCCATCTGTATTTTCCTATGTCTATTTTCAGATTGCACACACTCTTCTACATGGGTCACTTAAATGCTCATGCTAAATTTCCTACAATTGCACAAAAGTACATGCAGAAGGCAGCAAAGCTTAAAGCCTTCAAGATTTAATTTAGCTACTCCTAACAGAAAAAGTTGAGAAACTACAATGCAATAAAATAGAGATAAGAAAAATCAAAATCTTTAGAAATCGGAATTAATGCTTTGTAGGCAAAGTCTTCTTTGGTAGCTGTTTAACAGTCACCAGCCAACTATTAGTGCCCTCTCTCTCTTTTATTGGAAGAAAAAAGAAGACCATCAAAATTTAAATTCTACCTCTGTGTCAAGAAATCCAGTTGTACTCAGTGGTCTTTTTTCTTCCAGCACTACTGTAGCAGAATTAATAGCCCAATCTTTTACTAAATCTTTCTGGTTCTCGTTGATAACAGGCCTATTATAATCCTGGCTGTCATCCACTCCAAACACCTGAAAATGAAACAAATCATTACACATATTAACCCAATGCTTTCCTGAGTCAAGGTTCGATTTTAGTGTATCGATGGTGTCAATATTGACATAGTAAGAACCTTCTTTTAAAAAGGTTTATTATACTAATCTGAAACCAGCTAATTTGATGTAAAGAATATAGATTATAAATTTTAGGAACAGAGCAGATATTGTTAGTTTCCCAGAAATACAGGGAAAAGCTAGTTGAAATGATCAGATATGAAACAATGACGTTCTTCTGATCAAAGAAATTAAACAGGGCACAATGATATTGGCCAAATAATGGAAAAACAAGAATGTTTTAAAAGTATTTGCCGGTAGTTTTTTATAAATATATTTCAAGAACAAAAAATATACATACCTATTTTTCCTACCAGTTCCCTTAATATACTGTTATTCTAATTCACTGCTTTTTCAGAAAAATTACAATGTTACAGAACAAATATTCTTTAATATCATCACGTCTCCTATATTGAAAGAATGGTTTCTTGGACCATCTTCTCTTCCACTGATATTTACATGTACCAACATCCCCTCACTCTGGTGACAGAATAACATCTTTGCAACAACTATATAAATTGCTTACTTAGAAAAAATAGTTAGAAAAATACTTAATATATTTTAGCTTATTTAATGCAATTTAGAAGGAGGAGAGTCAGCATAAAGGTACCAATCATTTTACATGGACCACTGGTGGATCATGGGCAACAGTCTGGGAACCACTATTATAGACAGCTTCCTGTTACTTTCATAAAAGAACTCAATGGGGCTTGAGAAATAAATACTTTAAAGCCCGGAAATATATTTTGTTTAGAGAGATTTTAAATTAACTTTACTATTACGGGATCCAGCTGTAAAATAGGATTTTTATGTTTTCCCCAGTATAATTCTATTATATAACTGGCTCCGGTGATGTCAGACGACTGTTTTGTCATAAGGAAGAGGGAACTAAACTTTTGTTATTATAAAAATGTCACTAGTAACAAAAAACCACAAAAATAAATGTTTCCCCCCCCAAAATTTAGTATTTTTCACAGTTTTGCAGAAGGGTTCTATGGATCTTTTATGAATGGAGAACTCTTTGCTCAGTAGTATTAGATAGATCATGATGCATTGCTCACCAAAATTTCCTACTTTCAAAAAGTCTATTAAGCAGCCAATTCACCACTAGATGGCCACAATACATAACATTTTTTCCTTATTTAAAACCAGCAGAAGCCCAAAGTAATTAAAGGGGCATTTTTTCCCTCAAGGTAAAATAAATACATATATTTGCAGGGTTTAGTCATGCAAACTCCCATTTAAGCTAATTATGTAAATTTAGCCTCTGGGAGTCCGTATATATTAATATTTATGTTTTGCCAATATTTGAGACTTAGAAACCATTTTCAAATTTGTTTTACATGTTTTTAGTGCAAAGAAATAGCCTTCCAGTCTTTCACCTGATGCTATTATTTATATAAAAAAGATGCCTAAAGTCAACATTATTTGCAATATTAATTCTACACTTTAATTATGTTGTGATAACCTCATACATTACTTATTTTAGAAATACTTTGTATATCTTCCATATCCAAGACAGACATGATACACGATGTGATATCTATTTCCCCTTCTCTCTCCTCATTCTCCCTTCTTTCCTGCTGCTTTTGACTAGTGTAGGTAGGTGGCAAAATTTACTAAAGAAAATAAACTATTGTGATACCACTTTTCTTCTTTTAGTTTACTTGATTTCTGCAACTATTTCCTTTACCGTCCTTGTTTTATTTTCAAACAATCATTTTGTGTAACTGCTTTACAATTCTCATTATAAATTGAAAACAAATACCAATTACTTTATTGCATGAACATCTGTAGAATAATGTGATTCATATTCATATACACCTAATCAGAACTACAGGAATAATTTGCAGCACATAAACTAGTGAATATTGTTGGACAGTATGGCTACATCTACACTGGCATGATTTTGCCAAGTACTCTTTTGCAGAAGAGTATTCCACAAGGAATAAGGGGGATTCCAAAAGAAGGGGGGTTTTTTTTCTGACATTTGGTCCAGTCTAGACAGGTCAAATGTTGGAAAAACCTCTTCCTACAGAAGAATTAAAAAAAAAAAAAAAAAAAAAAAAAGATTAGGGATAGCAAGTGATGGAGAGGAGGAGAATAGAGAGGGTGGGACTTCAAGGAAGGGGCGGGGCAGTAGATCTTGGCTTGGTCTGTCATTTAACAAGTGATCTTGGGTGTAAAAAGGTTGGAGACCACTGTACTAGAATATACTATCATTATATACTGCACTCTCTCAAAAGGTAAGAAGTCACTGCCTTTTTGGCAAAAGAAACAGGTCATTTGCAGGTTTAAAGGAGCTTGTGATAGCCATCACATTCTCAGTAACAGCCAACAAAGCATTTTCCTTTCATCTTTTCAGCTATGAAGTGACCTGAGAGCATCCCCAAATAGTGTGGTTTTGTTTGCAAGATTCCCAAAGCAAAATCTTGGATGCCTATATTGGGAGGGTATAAAATCATAGTGTGTAAGCTTTCAACCCAAGACATCAGTTTACTTTGGTGTATTTTTCCAAACTACCATCACAAGAGCTAGAAACTTACTTTTTTTAAAAACACCTCAGAAGATTCTTCTTTTTTACTTTCCTAGCTCTTGCTGGGCTTCAGATGGGTCCAAAGTTTAGCTCTGTGGTCACTGCTGTTTTATGAGAAACCTTGAATGTGTCAATAGGGAAATGAAAATTCTGACTCACTTAGGGTACATCTATACTACAGCATTATTTCAAAATATCTAATTTCAAAATAGTCATTTCAAAATAAGATAATTCGAAATAACGCGTCTAAACACAAAATGCATTTCGACATAGCGTTTTGCTATTTCGAGATAGTGTCCAAACAGTGTGGACGTGCTGAGTCACATTTAAGAGCAGCTGAAACCACTTCCGGCAGGGCATCAGGTCAGGAGTTACTTTGTGTGGCTGCTGCCTGAGGCTGAGGCCTGTGCTTAAAGGGACCCCCCTGGACAGCTGGTTCTCAGGTTTCCCTGCTTGCTTGCCTACCTCGCTGAGGGACAGCAAAGCATTTTTTTTGTCTGCGTGCTTTGGTTGCCTTCACTCGTGACACCACAGAACTTGGCATCATGGAGCCAGAGCTGCCCCTGAGCACTCTGGTGCTTCTTTTAGATGTGTTGCTGCAAGCCTGGTAACACTTTCTGGAGGCTGCCACATAGCATCTGCTGCAGCCCGACCCCCAAGCCATCCTCTGGACCCTCCTGAGGTACGTGGAGGAGTAGCTGCAGCTCCTGGACGCCAGTGTGCCTTGCCACATCTGGACACCAGCAGCGACTGGTGGGACCACATCGTCCTGGAGTGCTGGGGAGAACAACAATGCACCAAGAACTTTACAATGAAGGAGGACACCTTCCTCGAGCTCTGTGAATGGCTCGCCCCTGCTCTGCAGCGATGGGACATGCACATGAGGCCCGCCATTCCCCTCCAGAAGAGTGTGGTCATAACTCTCTGGAAGCTCTCCACACCAGATAGCTACTGATCCATGGGGAACCAGTTCGGCGTGGGGAGAGCCACCGTCAGAGCAGTGTGCATAAATGGCAGTCTCCAGCCACTGTGCCAGGAGGGTGGGTACAAGGAGGGGATAGGCTGCCCTAGGGCAAAGGGGGGGAGGTGGTGAAAGTTCCCTACCTGGGAGGGTTTGTTCTGTCCCGCCCACACTAAGGACTGCCCGCAGTGGCCAGGATTACAGGAGGGGTTGCTCCTGGAGATTGGGGGAGCGGGGCAGTGGCGGGGAAGGAGCACACTCAGCCACCCTGGCACCCTACTGACTCTTGGTTTTGTGTATCCCTCTACAGGTGGTCAAAGCCATCAACAGAGTGCTGCTCCGCAGAGTCATCCGCCTCACTGATGTGGACGCAGTGATTGATGGGTTTGGCGGCCTGGGCTTCCCCAACTGTGGGGGAGCAATCGGTGGGACACACATCCCCATCTGTGCCTCAGACCACCAGGCCTCTCTGTACATAAACCGGAAGGGATACTTCTTCGTCATCCTGCAGGCTGTGTCTGACCACCAGGGCCACTTCGTGGACATTAATGTGGGCTAGTCTGGCAAAGCACACGACGTGCGGGTGTACCGCAACTCCTCTGTGTGCCAGAGGCTGCACGTCAGGACTTTCTTCCCCGAGCACCACATCAAGGTCAGGGATGTGGACATGCCTGTGTGCCTGGTGCTCTGTGATGTGGCCTACCCCTTACAACTCTGTCTCATGAAGCCCTACACGGGACACCTCAACCCTTCCCGACAGGCCTTTATTGCCAGGCTCGGCAGGGCCCGCATTGTGGTGGAGGGTGCCTTTGGCCGGCTGAAGGCCCGTTTTAGATGCCTCCTCACCCGCCTGGACCTCTCCGAACAGAATATTCCGCATGTGGTGGCGGCATGCTAAATGCTGCACAAGGGGGAGGCTTTCCTGCCGGCCTGGATGGCAGAGGCCAAGCACTTAGTCGGCCTGTACATGCAGCCCTGCATGGCTGCCAGCCAGGAGGCCCATCGGGGGGCTGTCCGTATCCAGGAGGCGCTGCGGGAGAGCTTCCACTCAGAGGAGAACTTAAGTCTCCCTGGTGTGCTCCACTGCAGGCTTGTGCCTCATTCCTCCCTCACGTCCTTTCACTTACCCCTCCCTAACCCCAAATGCTGCACAAGGGGGAGGCTTTCCTGCCGGCCTGGAAAGACAATGTGTGGACAAAAACAAACTCTCTTTATTGAAC